CACCTGCTGCTGCCTCTGAAACAATGTTCCTACTGAGAGGATATTGGTTTAAGAAAGATAATCTTCCCTTGCCTTGGATCAAAGTGAAATGCAGTTTATTTCTTATTTGCTGTTTAAACCTTTTAGGTTTAGTGTTTTAATAGTAATAATAATAATAATAATAACAATAATAATGTTAATAATATTAATATTATTTTATTATTATTATTGTTATTTATAGTTTAATAATCATTATTAATAAGAGGAAAGTAATGATTATTAATAAGAATTAATTAAAAACAATTACAAAGAAGTAATATTAATATTTTAATTTTGAATTATTATTATTATTATTAAATATTCGCCGGTATTCTCCCGGCCCGGCCTTGGCCAAGTGGTGGCCCGGGCCTTGGCCAAGTGGTGGCCCGGGCCTTGGCCAAGTGGTGGCCCGGGCCTTGGCCAAGTGGTGGCCCGGGCCTTGTCCAAGTGGTGGCCCGGGCCTTGTCCAAGTGGTGGCCGGGCCTTGTCCAAGTGGTGGCCCGGGCCTTGTCCAAGTGGTGGCCCGGGCCTTGTCCAAGTGGTGGCCCGGGCCTTGTCCAAGTGGTGGCCCGGGCCTTGTCCAAGTGGTGGCCCGGGCCTTGTCCAAGTGGTGGCCCGGGCCTTGTCCAAGTGGTGGCCCGGGCCTTGTCCAAGTGGTGGCCCGGCCTTGTCCAAGTGGTGGCCCGGCCTTGTCCAAGTGGTGGCCCGGGCCTTGTCCAAGTGGTGGCCCGGGCCTTGTCCAAGTGGTGGCCCGGGCCTTGTCCAAGTGGTGGCCCGGCCTTGTCCAAGTTGTGGCCCGGCCTTGTCCAAGTGGTGGCCCGGGCCTTGTCCAAGTGGTGGCCCGGCCTTGTCCAAGTGGTGGCCCGGCCTTGGCTCCCTCTTTAGGGAGTGTCTGAGACCTAAGTCTGCCATGGGAGGAGGCACAAGTACCTCCTCATCTTTGGGACCAACTGTCCCCAGGCCTAGCCACAAGTTAGGCCTCTCTGGTCTGCCATCCCCGCCACAAGGGGGCTAATGGGAACGACAGTGTTGTGAGCTACAGGCTCGGGCTCGGGCACCTACCCTGCCCTAGAAGGGCTGGGCATGGTGTCGATGTTGTAAATTAAGAAAAGAATTATAATTCAATATTTGTAATAAGAATTAATAATAAATCAATAATGATATGAAAATAAAATAATGTTTTATTAAAGTCGATTATTATTATTATTATTATTATTATTATTCAGTTTTAATATTAGGTAATAATAATAATGTTATGGCAATATTATTTCTATGAAAGGTATAGAAAATTTTATAGAGGTGATTACTTGTACATACCTCAACATTACTTGTACATACCTCAACATTACTTGTACATACCTCAACATTACTTGTACATACCTCAACATTACTTGTACATACCTCAACATTACTTGTACATACCTCAACATTACTTGTACATACCTCAACATTACTTGTACATACCTCAACATTACTTGTACATACCTCAACATTACTTGTACATACCTCAACATTACTTGTACATACCTCAACATTACTTGTACATACCTCAACATTACTTGTACATACCTCAACATTACTTGTACATACCTCAACATTACTTGTACATACCTCAACATTACTTGTACATACCTCAACATTACTTGTACATACCTCAACATTACTTGTACATACCTCAACATTACTTGTACATACCTCAACATTACTTGTACATACCTCAACATTACTTGTACATACCTCAACATTACATGTATACGAGTAATCTTCTTGGGTGACAACAACGATATTGTTTACCGTAGTCACCAGTGTAGACATGTGAGAAAACTTAACCACCTCTGGTCACTGCAGGTGGCCCCTCGACTCTCACAATCTTATCCATATCTATCCGACACCAGTATAAATTGGGTAGTACCCTCAAGTACGGCACTACTAATTAATTGCTGACTGTATAGGTTATATTACTTTAACTGAATGAAAGGGGGGGGGGGTAAGTTACACATGGATACATCCATCAAGAAAAAACACTTGTACATAATCCCACCACTTACCTGATATTCTCTGGTGGTCACTTGATGTGGCTGGATCACCCATAACCTATCCAATTAAAACATACCTAACTGGCCAGTATCAGTCTGCTATAACTAGAAAGGTTACTTAACTGTGGGTGATTGATGCTCCTTATTTCCTCCATTCACCATCTCATTTCGATGTCCTGCTACACTGACACGGTTCTTATTCCAGCAGGACGAGGTATCCGTTGGTTTGTCCCGGTTTAGAAGTCGTGATTCCATAAAACTTCGCTATCCTTGGGACGAGAACCATGTGTTCACTCGGAGCAGGGCGATTTATTTCACTTCCCGCATTCTCTTAACTTAATGTTATTATCACTGATTACATTACCATTCACAAGACGATTTAACGTCTCATAATTATTATACACATTAGAGGTCACTCCATTAAGATCTGAGACCGATGAGTGAGGATTAACTCACGAGTAATTTCCAATTGACACATTCCATGGCGGCGCACCCATCACCCCCGGTCCTACTATTATCCACTTATTTTACCACTTTATCACGGTGGTCACGTAAATCTCGTTCCCTCACTCTTCACCAGGAACAATTACAACACTTCCTATTAGGAAGTGAGGCCTATATCAATCCTTAGGCCGCCATGAACGCCAATTTCCTGATCCCATGTTTCACAGCCTCCTCACTACATTCAAAACACTGCCGCCACCTCGTGTCCCAGCTCGACCTATCCCCCGCACATCTGCGCAGGCGCAGTGGGAACCCAGTTGGTTCCATTCAAAATACAAATATATTTTGACCCAAATCAACACATTAAACACTTATTAGGCACTATAGCTTCGGAAATTAAATAATTTCCACAAAAGATATATAATTATAATTCACTGTGTATAATAATAATAATACTACTACTAATAATAATAATAATAATAATAATAATAATAATAATAATAATAATAATAATACGTAATAATAATAAATGATAAAAATAATAATTATATTTTCCTAATGGTAACAGTTATAATTCAATATTTATATTATGTAAAGTGTTAACATTATAGTTAATGATTTTTGTTTGTGAAGGTGAGGGAGGTGATGAAGATGATGGCGTCATCCTCGTGTGTGGTATTTCTTGATCTGGCCTGGCCTGACCTGGCCTGGCCTGGCTCTACCAGGCCTGGCTCTACCAGAGGAAGACTCCACATCCAGCTGAATACTGACACCATGATGGCCAGACAGTTTGTGTTGTTGTGTACTGGACAACATCAGTCAGGCTTCTCCTTCCTCAACACTAAACTGTTGGAGGTGACGAACAAGGGTGAGCCAGGAGAGTGTGTGAGAGGTGGAGACTACCAGTATAATAATGGTAGTGGAGGAGCACCATTGCTATCTCACCAGCGTAATCACCAGTACCAGAAGTCAGGCAGTGCTGGTGCTGTGTGGTCATGGGATCATCCGTGGAGTGGCAACAGTGCACAGTTTGTCATCAGCACCAGGGACTGCATTGATGGTCGCCCGTGGTTCCGTGTCTTTGGTGAGGTAGTGAGTGGTCTGGATGTGGTGAGAGCAGCAGTTAACCACAGTAACATCACAAAAGTGACTGTGGTGGACTGTGGTGTTGTCTTGACTCTCTAGTTCACTCTACCATCACTACTGTCACCATCACTGTTGTGTAACACTATCACTGCTCTGTTTCACCATCACTGCTGTGTGTCATCACTGCTGTTTCACCATCAGTACTGTGTCACCATTACTGTTGTGTATCACCTTTACTGAGTTACCACTGTTGTCTCACCATCACTACAGTGGTGTCACCATCGCTACAGTGGTGTCACCATCACTACAGTGGTGTGTCATCACTAGAGTGGTGTCACCATCACTACAGTGGTGTGTCACCATCACTACAATGGTGTCACCACTATTACAGTACTATGTCACCAACACTACAGCAGTGTGGCACCATCACTATAGTGGTGTCACCACCATTACAGTACTATGTCACCATCACTACAGTGGTGTCACCACCATTACAGTGCTATGTCACCAACACTACAGCAGTGTGGCACCATTACTGTAATGGTGACACACCCATCCTGTGGATGGTAGTCTAAAAAGATTATAGAGGTACATAACAGGTCCAGGAACTAGACCTCAACATTTTATTAACTAAGCAAGATACATAATCAAGACAATGAAACACATTGTTACAATCACACTGGTCGTAGGAACAGACAAAACAACTCTGTTGATTAATTGTTCCTAAGGTTGTGAGTTATCAACAGTAGGTTATCAACAGTAAGTTATCAACAGTAAGTTATCAACAGTAAGTTATCAACAGTAAGTTATAAACAGTAAGTTATCAACAGTAAGTTATCTACAGAAAGTTATCTGCAGTAAGTTATCAACAGTAAGTTATCAACAGTAGGTTATCAACAGTAAGTTATCAACAGTAAGTTATCAACAGTAAGTTATCAACAGTAAGTTATCTATAGAAAGTTATCTGCAGTAAGTTATCAACAGTAAGTTATCAACAGTAAGTTATCAACAGTAAGTTATCTGCAGTAAGTTATCAACAGTAAGTTATCAACAGTAAGTTATCTACAGAAAGTTATCTGCACTAAGTTATCAACAGTAAGTTATCAACAGTAAGTTATCAACAGTAATTTATCTACAGTAAGTTATCAACAGTAAGTTATAAACAGTAAGTTATCTACAGAAAGTTATCTGCAGTAAGTTATCAACAGTAAGTTATCAACAGTAGGTTATCAACAGTAAGTTATCAACAGTAAGTTATCAACAGTAAGTTATCTGCAGTAAGTTATCAACAGTAAGTCATCAACAGTAAGTTATCAACAGTAAGTTATCTGCAGTAAGTTATCAACAGTAAGTTATCAACACTAAGTTATCAACAGTAAGTTATTAACAGTAAGTTATCAACAGTAAGTTATCAACAGTAAGTTATCAACAGTAAGTTATCAACAGTAAGTTATCTACAGTAAGTTATCAACAGTAAGTTATTAACAGTAAGTTATCAACAGTAAGTTATCTACAGTAAGTTATCAACAGTAAGTTATCTACAGTAAGTTATCAACAGTAAGTTATCAACAGTAAGTTATCTACAGTAAGTTATTAACAGTAAGTTATCTACAGTAAGTTATCAACAGTAAGTTATCTACAGTAAGTTATCTACAGTAAGTTATCAACAGTAAGTTATCTACAGTAAGTTATCAACAGTAAGTTATCTACAGTAAGTTATTAACAGTAAGTTATCTACAGTAATCTCTTCAAGGGGGGCTCCTTGGCGTGGTGAAGAGGCTCTTGGTCTGAGGAATTAGACCTGTCGGTCTCCTTCCTCAGACCGAACCTAATTACCCCCCAATCCCCCCTTCCCTATCCCATCCTCCCCATCCTTCCCTTTTTCCTTTCATCCTCCTCCTCCCCACCCCTCCTTTTGCCCTTCCTTTTCGGCTTTTGTGATTTTTTCCCACAGGCGCGCTAGTTCCTAGGTGGGGGAAAGGGTACCGGGGTCCATCCCATTCCGTTGAGGTTCTTAGCGGTGGCATAGTTTGCCGTGGAACCTGGACGCCTGGGGATGTCCCGATCCCTCTCCTGTATCCCGGAGGGTGGCTTTGGGTGTCTTTCGGGCGTTGGGTGTATCTCTGGAAGCCACCTTTCAGATTCTGGGGGTGGTGGCCGAAGGAGGTATGCTTTGTGGCGGATATCTGGCCGCCCTCTCTTTTGTCCACCGAGGTAGCTCGGCAGATGTAAGGTTGCTATCCTGGATTGCTGGTTTACAGGCATGATGGGTAGGGTATGGCATGGGTTCCATGCTGCATCTGCACTACTTGTGGTGCTGAGGTCCTCTTGGGCCTGGAGGGAGATTTCTGGCCCTTTCATTCCTCCTAGGAACTATTCTTCCTAGGAACTATTCCTCCTCACTCCCCCCTTTTGTTTCTTTTTTTATTTTTATTTTCTTTTCTTCTTCCTTTTTTTTTCTTAAAAACAAAAAGAAAGAAGTAACCTAACCATGGAGTACCCGATCCATGACCCCTTTACCACTGGGCCCCTTATTGTTACCGCACCCCGTTCTGACCTCGCCTCATCTTTTGGCCACTCTTCGGACATTCCTAAGGTCCCTGTACCTCTTGCTGGTGCTGTTTCGTCACCTGCTTCAGGTGCCGGGGTTTCGACTGACTCCTTCGATTTGTCTGACCTCTGCTCTCCTTTGACTATGCTTCCGGCTTCTCCCTCTACGGTTCGGCGATTTTCGAATCGCCAGCCAGTCCCACATTGGACCGACTCTGGTCCCACTTCTAAATGCCAATGACAATCTCTTGATGATGTTACTTCGTTACCTTCCCATTCTACTCGGAAAAGACCAACACGTCATGCACTCCCTCTCCACACTCAGTTTCGGACCACACAATGGACTAAATTCTTTACATTAAGACCGACTTCTTCTACTGCCTATCTTTCCGACCATAGTATTGGCAAAGCGCTCCTATGCCTCGTTGGTAGAGATATTTCCTTTCATGCTCTTAAGAGTGGTATGCACATCATCACAGTCCAGAATTCTACCCAAGCTCATTATCTTTCTCTTCTTTCATATATCCATACTATTCCTATCATTATCGAAAAACATCATTCCCTCAATTCTTGTAGTGGTACTGTTATTCTGCACCATACCATAGTCCAACAGAATTTCAAGACATGTGGCACTGACATTCTCGAGCAGCTGGAACTCCAAGATCTCCCAATTCTCCAGGTAGACACTTATGTTCTTCCTGCCCGCGGGCGAAGACTTGCAATGTGGCTCGTTTAACTTTTGACAACCGCGAACTCCCATCCTCTGTTTATGTAGCAGGACATCGGCTACAAGTTTGGAAGATGATCCCTACACCACAACAGTGTAGGAATTGCTGGCGATTTGGCCACCCAGCAAAATATTGCAGACCTATAGCCGAATGCCCAGTCTGTGGTGCCGATGACCATTCTTATACGTCTTGCAGTCGAGCTCCCTCTTGCCTTAATTGTCATGAGGCTCATCCTTCGTACTCTCGCCGTTGCCAGGTCTACTTAATGAGCGGGAAATTCGTTGCCTCAAAGATTCAGAAGGTCTCCACCTCCAAGGGAGACTGCCCCGTGTTTCTTATTCTCATGTTTCAAAGCATCCCCCCACTTCTGGGGTCACATCTTCTGCAGCCTCCTCTGTGGGTGCCAGTCCCATAGTCACTCCTGTATCTAATTCTTTTGCTGTCCTGGGCTCAGACGTCCCTACTTCAACTCCTCAGTCTGTTCTCCCTCACAAACCATGGTATCGACAAGACCTCGTACAACACCTCCCAATCGTCCCTCTACTTCTGAGAGGTCAAAAAAATCTCCTTTAACCCCTCCTTCCCTTCATCCACCTCCACATTTTACCTTCCGGGTCTCTGTACCTGGGTCTTCCCCATTCACTGGCTCTGTTACAAGTGTGGAGGTTCATCCTCCTCCTCATACTGTGCCTTCCTCCCCTGTCCACTCCCAAGTTTCTTCCTCTTCTGCCACCTCCCAGGTTTCTGCCTCTTCTGTCCCCTCCCACACTTCTCCAGTTCCCTCCACCCTTTCGCCCCCCCCTACCTTGGTACAGTCCATTACAGCTTTGATCTTTACTCAAACTCCTCCTTCTTCCATTTCCAATATTGTCTCCCATACGACATCTCTGAACTCCGAAACACTTGAAGCAATCTCTGAATATATTGCAGAGACCAAACCATCAATGGACACTGATCCACCCTCTGTTCCTTCTCTTTCCTCTTCTCCATCTGCACAACTCCTTTCTTCACAACGCACTGTTCCTTCGCTACTTGAACGTTTTCCTTTGCCACCGCATGTGGACTTTTCTAACCCCTCTAGTCTGTAGCTATCTTTATCGTTGCCAATCATGGCCTATTTACAGTGGAATATTCGCAGCCTCAGGGGTAATCGGGGTGAGCCTCAGATGTTGCTCTCCCAGTTTTCCCCTGATGGTGTTTGCTTACAGGAACCAAAATTACACTCTGTCGTTATCTCTCCCATCTCAGGCTATAATTTATTGTATTCTTCAGATCCTTTTCCTGATGGGACCTTTAATGAAAGTTCCCTTCTTCTACACACTGATATTCTGTACCATCAGCTATTTGTTCGTACATCGCTGTATTACACAGCAGCCCATATCTACCTGCATAGTTGGTATACACTGTTCTTTGTATCTCTCTCCTTCTCGGGCATTACCTATCCCGGATATTGCCTTTCTTGTTTCCTCATTACAGCCACCGCTTCTGTTACTTGGCGATTTAATGCCCATCATTTCCTCTGGGGGGTCTCACTGTGATTCCTGTGGCATTCAGTTAGAGGCTTTTCTTGCTACCCACCCCCACCATGTTTTAAATACAGGTACTAACACCCATTTTGATCCTCGGACTCGTACTCTCTCTTGCATCGATCTCTCAGTCTGCTCTTCCTCCGCCGCATTAGACTTCACCTGGTCTGTTCTCCCGGATTTACATGACAGCGATCATTTCCCAATCATTCTTAATTCCCCTTCATATTCACCACCTCTTCGTAACCCACACTGGCAATTTGATCAGGCAAATTGGAACCTTTACTCTCAAATAAGTGTTTTTAGTGAGGTCCCTTCTTCGTCCTCCATTGATGAGCTTTTACACCTCTTCTCGTCTTCCGTTTTAACCGAAGCTTCTCATTTTATACCCCAAACTTTGGGCAGGCATTCTCAGAAATGCATGCCTTGGTGGTCTCCTGCTTGTTCTCACGCAGTACATTTGAAACGCGCTGCGTGGGGAAGGTACTGGTAAAATAGAACCATGGAGAGACTTCTTGATTTTAAGCAGAAGTGTGCAATCGCTCACCGTGTCATCCGTGATGCTAAACGCACTTGCTGGCGAGATTATGTCTCCACCATCACCTCTGCTTCCTCTATGAGTGCAGTCTGGAAAAAAGTACGAAAACTGAGTGGTAAATATTCTCCTGACCTGGCTCCTGTTCTGCGGGTTGCCGGTGTTGATATAGCAAACCCACTAGATGTTGCCAATGAAATTGGCAATCATCTGGTCCATATTTCTCAGGGGCTCCATATATGCCCCTCGTTTCTTTCCTCAAAGTCTGCCAGAGAGTTAGCACCCTTGGATTTTTCTTCTCTCAGAGAAGAACAGTATAATGTGCCTTTTACACTTCAGGAACTGGAGGCAACACTCTCAGCTTGCCGATCATCGGCAGCTGGGCCCGACGACATTCATATTCGTATGCTACAACATTTACATCAGTCAGCCCTTGCAGTCCTATTACGCCTTTTCAATCTTATTTGGTCACAAGGAGTTCTTCCACAGCTGTGGAAATCTGCCATTGTTCTCCCTTTCCGCAAACCGGGTACTACGGAACACGAAGCCTCCCACTATCGTCCCATTGTTCTTACCAGTGCAGTTTGCAAAGTGATGGAATGCCTGGTAAATAGACGTTTAGTGTGGTATTTAGAGACACACAACAGTCTGTCCACTCGTCAATATGGCTTTCGTAAGGGCCGTTCTACCATAGACCCCTTACTATGCTTGGATACGTATGTTCATAATGCCTTTGCAAATAACCACTAAGTTATTGCCATATTTTTTGACCTTGAGAAGCCATATGACACAACTTGGAGGTATAATATTTTGGCTCAAGCCCACTCCTTAGGCCTTCGAGGCAATCTACCATCCTTCCTTAAGAATTTTTAACTGACAGACATTTCCGTGTTCGGGTTAATAATGTGTTCTCCCCGGACTTTATCCAAGCTGAAGGTGTGTCCCAGGGATGTGTTCTGAGCACAACACTTTTACTCCTTGCTATAAATGATTTGGCCTCTAGTCTTCCATCCAATATTTGGTCATCACTCTGTGTTGATGACTTCGCTATTGCCTGTGCAGGCGCTGACTGTCACCTCATTACAGTTTCTCTCCAGCATGCGGTCGACCGTGTTTCCAATTGGGCCAACACTCATGGGTTTAAATTTTCCAGTACCAAAACTCACCAAATTACTTTCACTAGACGCTCTGTCATCTCCGATCATCCTTTATATCTCTATGGCACCCATATCGCTGAATGTGATACAGTCAGGTTTCTAGGCCTCCTCTTTGGCCATAGGTTATCCTAGAAACCTCACACTACCTCTCTGAAGACAACTTGTCACAACCGGCTGAACCTTCTTAAAACCCTTGTTCATCTTTCATGGGGAGCTGATCATCGAACTCTCCTTCGCCTACATTCCACCCTCATTTTATCGAAACTTGATTATGGTGACCAGATCTATTCAGCTGCCTCTCCTGCTACTCTATCTAGCCTCAACCCCATTCATCACCAAGGATTACGTTTATGCCTAGGTGCTTTTCGCTCTTCCCCTGTTAAGAGCCTCTATGAAGAAGTGAACGTTCCATCCTTATCCGATCGCCGTGATGCCCATTGCCTTCGCTACTATGTACACTGTCATGATCTCCGCAATCCTTCCATTTATAGAATAGTCACCGATATTAGTAGACATTCTTTATTTGTTCGCCGCCGCTGTTTGCTCCGTCCCTTCTCTCTTCGCCTACATTCGCTCTTGTCTTCTCTTCAATTTCCACCTTTCTATGTTCAAGTAGCATCTCACTTTTCCCTACCCCCCTGGGAAGTTCCAACTGTTCAAGTCTGTTCTTTCTCACTCCCTTGCTCGAAAGCCCAACTGTCTATGGTAGCTTCCCGCTCTCTTTTCCTTGATCACTTCCACTCTCATTCTCATGCCATTGCAGTGTACACAGATGGCTCTAAGTCTTCTGACGGCGTCGGATTTCCAGCATTGTTTCCGGACAGCGTCGTACGAGGGCATTTACTATCTTCGGCTAGTATCTTTACTGCTGAATTGTATGCCATTCTTCCAGCACTTATCCGTATTGCATCTATGCCTGTGCCATCATTTGTGGTTGTCTCAGACTCCCTTAGTGCTTTACAGGCTATACTGAAATTTGATACACCTAACTCCTTAGTCCTCTGTATCCAACTTTGCCTACGCTGCATCTCTACCAAGCATAAACATATTGTTTTTTGTTGGGTCCCTGGTCATGTTGACGTACAGGGCAATGAACAGGCAGACACTGCTGCGCGGTCAGCAGTACATGACCTACCAGTTTCATATAGAGGTATTCCATTTACGGACTATTTTGCTGCAATAGCTACCCACCTTCACATCCGTTGGCAACGACGTTGGTCTACTATGCTCGGTAACAAACTTCAATCTATTAAACCGAGTATAGGATACTGGCCGTCTTATCACCAGTGTCGAGGTTGGGAGACTACTCTCTCACGTCTTCCCATTGGCCAAACTCGTCTTACTCATGGATATCTCATGGAGAGGCGCCCTGCTCCTCTCTGTGAGAATTGCCAGGCCCCATTATCAGTCAGCCACATTCTGTTAGACTGCCCACTTTATCAACGAGCACGCAGAATATACTTCCAACGTCGTCTTCGCTCCGCTGCTCTCTCTTTACCTTCCCTTCTTGCTGATGGACCCACCTTTCATCCAGACTTTCTCGTTGACTTTTTGACAACAACTGACTTCACAAACTCTGATACCTTCAGCCCTTTCTACCTCAATCTCTTGCTACCCTCTACCCCCGCAGTATCCCCTGCCCCGCTGTTTTCTGTAACCTACTGATCGCCCCTCCCCCCTTCTGCCGCTCAATACCCTCGCTTCCTTCCCTACCCTGCAACGCTGTATAGCCCTTGTGGCTTAGTTCTTCTTTTTGATTATAATATAATAATAATATCTACAGTACGCTATCAACAGTAAGTTATGAACAGTAAGTTATCTACAGTAAGTTATCAACAGTAAGTCATCAACAGTAAGTTATCAACAGTAAGTCATCAACAGTAAGTTATCAACAGTAAGTTATCAACAGTAAGTTATCTACAGTAAGTTATCAACAGTAAGTCATCAACAGTAAGTTATCAACAGTAAGTTATCAACAGTAAGTTATCTACAGTAAGTTATCAACAGTAAGTCATCAACAGTAAGTTATCTACAGTAAGTTATCAACAGTAAGTCATCAACAGTAAGTTATCAACAGTAAGTTATCTACAGTAAGTTATCAACAGTAAGTCATCAACAGTAAGTTATCAACAGTAAGTCATCAACAGTAAGTTATCAACAGTAAGTTATCTACAGGAAGTTATCAACAGTAAGTCATCAACAGTAAGTTATCAACAGTAAGTCATCAACAGTAAGTTATCAACAGTAAGTTATCTACAGTAAGTTATCAACAGTAAGTCATCAACAGTAAGTTATCAACAGTAAGTTATCTACAGTAAGTCATCAACAGTAAGTTATCTACAGTAAGTCATCTACAGTAAGTCATCAACAGTAAGTCATCAACAGTAAGTTATCAACAGTAAGTTATCAACAGTAAGTTATCTACAGTAAGTTATCAACAGTAAATCATCAACAGTAAGTTATCAACAGTAAGTTATCAACAGTAAGTCATCAACAGTAAGTTATCAACAGTAAGTTATCAACAGTAAGTTATCTACAGTAAGTTATCAACAGTAAGTCATCAACAGTAAGTTATCAACAGTAAGTTATCTACAGTAAGTCATCAACAGTAAGTTATCAACAGTAAGTTATCTACAGTAAGTTATCAACAGTAAGTTATCTACAGTAAGTCATCAACAGTAAGTTATCAACAGTAAGTTATCTACAGTAAGCAAAATCAAGATATTTTTTCCAAAAATTTCTGGCAGTTTAATTATGAATGATATTTTCATCAATTTCTTAAATATTCGTCAGTAAATTCTCTCTGAATTTGTTTGTATTCAAATACAGCTGTAGTTTATGTGAGTAACTGTTGGCAAAGTTTATGTTAATAGATCTACACAACCATACTGAACATTCTACAATGTTTATGTTAATAGATCTACACAACCATACTGAACATTCTACAATGTTTATGTTAATAGATCTACACAACCATACTGAACATTCTACAATGTTTATGTTAATAGATCTACACAACCATACTGAACATTCTACAATGTTTATGTTAATAGATCTACACAACCATACTGAACATTCTACAATGTTTATGTTAATATATCTACACAACCATACTGTACATTCTACAATGTTTATGTTAATAGATCTACACAACCATACTGTACATTCTACAATGTTTATGTTAATAGATCTACACAACCATACTGAACATTCTACAATGTTTATGTTAATAGATCTACACAACCATACTGAACATTCTACAATGTTTATGTTAATAGATCTACAGAAACATACTGTACGAATTGAGACACTTATGCAACACATGGGAATCTTTATTGAAGAAACGTTTCTCCACACAGTGGCTTCATCAGTCCAATACAAAGTAGAAATGGGTAAGGAGAGTAGAAGTTTTGAGGTAATCAGTCCCTCAACCTGGAATCGATGTGTTCAGTCCATCACTCTTGTAGGAAGTGCAGCACAGGGCCAGAGAGGTGGCTTATATACTGCTTGGACTCATCTCACCGCAGTATATAAGCCACCTCTCTGGCCCTATGCTGCACTTACTACAAGAGTGATGGACTGAACACATCGAATCCAGGTTGAGGGACTGATTACCTCATACTTCTACTCTCCTTACCCATTTCTACTTTGTATTGGACTGATGAAGCCACTGTGTGGCGAAACGTTTCTTCAATAAAGATTCCCATGTGTTGCATAAGTGTCTCAATTCTTCAACTTGTCGGTTTTCAAAACCATTCATCACAACATACTGTACATTCTAAAAAGAATAAATTCATTATTCTTGATATTATTGTAAACTCGTTTCTTCTGCTATGCTTCACCATCACAATGTTGGGCTCCATTACCTGGACCCAGATTTTTTAACTACTGTTAAGTGGGTTATGAGTTCAATAACAAGGCTATCAAATAAAATTAACAGAAGTTTAATTAACATTTATCAATTATAATGATTTACCAGAAAGTTAATTAAGATGAACCTGTTACATTATAGGTAAGAAAATAACAACCAGTAATAATAACTACATTTATTTTTATCACTAACAATTGTAACAGTAAATTATTTATTTTTATCACTGTAACAATTGTAACACTAAATTATTTAAAAGGTATAAATTCTGTAATAGTTTATTTATACAGCATTACAGAAAATAGTTTAATTTGTATTACAATACAGTATTTTGTAATATTCCTATTAACACAGATTTTATCAGGATAAAACTATGGATTATTATTATATCCATAAGAAAGCATTTAAACTACAGGGATAATACAGCACCTTGACTCGTCTCTCAACCCTTGAGTGGAGAGGACATGCACTGCTGCTGCCCCCTGGAGTTGTCTGGTGGCAGTTATATTTTCACAACATGGCGCTGGCTAGCCGGCGACGTATCAATACAGTCTGTATTGAATTGACCAGTGGAGCTGTGACAGAGCCGTCTACGGAGTTACTTCTGCCTGCAATAATCCGTGACACCTACGACATAACCAACGAGGAGATTTGTGGAGTGGCACTGAACAGCATGAAGAGGATTTTTGTGAAATTCAGCTCAGCAAGTGTTTATGAGGCAGTGGTGGATAAGTTCCAGGAGGTTGCCATACGTGTTAACCATGCTGTGACGGTGTGGATGCACGATGTTTCACGCTACTACACATGGGTTAAGATCAGGAATGTGCCGTTCGAGGCAGATGCATCTGACATTCGTCTTGCTTTGAGTAAATATGGTACGATACATACGGCCACTGCAGGAAAGTGGTCGGCCGGGCCGTATGTGGGGATACTGGAGGGCACGTACTCCATCAAGATGATGCTAAGTCATCCTATACCATCGTACGTGGTATTGGATGATTTTCGAACAGGGTTTTTGTGACATACTCTGGATAATGCCGTACCTGTCTATTGTGTGGGTCGTATGATCACCTTGCTGCACAGTGTGGTAGGGGACATGGTAATAAGGAACAGCAGCAGCAACGTGATGTGGAGAAGAGTGTGGACCAAGATCAGCCATATGCAACATTGCCTCAGCAGAGTTTGTCATGTATTGACGAGGTTGATAGGGCAGCGGAGATGGAGACGGCAGGTGCCATGAGAGGGGGGACACCCCTTCCTTGGATGTCGTACAAGTGTTGAATGAGGTTATCCTGGAAGTGACTGACAGCAATGCTGAAGCAATGATAGCGTCGGCGTTGGGTGAATTTTTGGGAAACAAGAGTCTTTGCCAGGAGGACAATGCAGACCTGGATCTTGGGTCTGCTGTGGAGGAGGGCGTGGTGACGGCAGCTCGGCCTGAGGTGTGTGATAGGGATGCATTGTTGGTACGAACAGTGGAGGTTCATCAGGACACCGCACCGGACGACATGATGCAGGCCGAGGGTACGCCACAAAAGAGAGCAGCAGCACATTCTGATTTAGAGGAAGTGCTTACGCCTGCACAGCATCCTGGGAAGAAAACATGGGGGGATGTCATGCAGAGAGGTTCCAGTGGCACTCAGGGGCAGGAGTTGGGTAAGAGTCTCCAGAAGGGGGGGAGGGAAAGGGGTGCAACGAGATGATCAGGTGACAAGTCGGTAATAGTGTCAAGAGAGAAACCCCCTTTGTAGGCTTTAAGTGATTGACATTGAATATTAATGGCTTGAGGTCGCAGAGAAAGTGTGTGTGTGGTTTAGTGAATTTTTGGTGCGTCATGGTGGTGTCATGGGAGGATTCATGGAGATGTGATGGTTGGAGTTAAACACACTTGTTGGATGGTAACATTTATATTAGCAGTGTGTGAAGGGGAAGGCCCAGCCTGCCTGTTGCTGCCTGGTAGGTCTAACAATAACTGGGGACGAGGGCTGGGAGTGCAGCACTCACATCGGCATCACATGATGTCACACAAGCTAGTCACTGAGCCTAGCAAGGGGTCATGTATGTAAAACATGGATGGTACTATGACACTCAGATAACATATACAGGGGAACAGCAAATATGCTGACAGCTCGGTCATGATATGTATGTTGTCTCGACATACAATACTATGCTATAGGCTGAACAGGCAGGTGGGTCTGGGATGATTCTATACAATGGCAAAGACATATGTAACTTAGAACTAATGGATGGTATCGTAATGGATAATAATGTAATACATTATGAATTATAAGAACAAATCATGGTATAATAATGGATGGAATTAATCGATCGATCTGTATTCATACACTCGACGGATTCTGAGGAAGAATAAATATACAAAGGTGAAAGTAATTAACAGCAAAGGCAGATCTGGTGCACACAGATCATTACTGCTAAATCTCAGAATTCAGAGGGAACGTGAACACACACAAAAAACAAATATTCTGAAAAAACTGATCAGCTAATAACAAAACACACAGTTGACAACTTCATTCATCTTGGACATCTAATTATACAGGTTATGTACATTTAAACCCAACTCTGCGAAGGTAAGATTTACATATGCAGAATGGTTATCATCTTTGGGTGGATCGAATTCTTCTGCAATGGCTAACACATGCCTTGAATGAGGGAGATCTAAACAAGTATCTACAAAAGATACTTGGGGGTTTCTCATCACTTGTCATGTACGCAAAGATAACGACATTCGGGTTGATTATCTGACTGAATATTAGAGGTAGAGGGTACAGAGTCAGGAGGATTGTCAGTGACTGACACATTAGTCTGGGTAGAAATAATATCCTCGACATCGCATACTAGCTTCATATGATCTAAATGCGATTCCTTATACTGACCAGTACTAATTTCTCTAACTTTATGCTTATTGCCATTGATATGTTCAGCTACTCTTCTTCTTCTTCTTCTTATGACCAGAGCTTTGGTAAGATGGGTAAGGAAGAAGGATGGGTAAGGATGGAAATATTGGAAAAGGGTGGGAGGGGGGAGAGAGGTAGGATATAAAAGGTAAGTGGCCCAACCACTTTGGTGTAATTTAAAAGGTGTACGTGAAATAATAAGATATTCTTAAAGGAGTATAGTACTAACCCATCAGAGTCACACAGATATAACAGATATATAAGTACATGACTCTGAATTGGTAGTAAATATACAAGTTGCAATTGCTTTTTTTTTCTTCTTTTTTTTTTGCGATTGCACAACAGATATTTAAGCGACAATGAAGGCAGTAATTTCCTGGCCAGTTTATAAAGAATTACTTGACAATGGCTTCTTGCAGGTGGTGTCCCGCCATAGTAAATTTAGCATAATTTTTACAGTAGATTGTTATATAAGATGTCTCCCTAATTGGGGGTGGTGATTTTCTCAGTAAACATAGAAGGGTTCTGGTGTTACCCAATCATCTTCATCAGGGAGGTTGCTCAATATCATGGGTCGATGGTAATCGTCTTTATGGATAAAACGACGGACCCTCTGTGGGAGAGTCATTCTTTGAGTCCTGTGAGGAGGAGTATTGATGATATAATCCGTGGTATTTACAACTTGGAGAGGATGTTTTTTATCTGGCATGTAGAGTTCTTGCATTGCATAGAGTTGTTTCTTCTTCAGGGTGTCAAGGCGTACATTTAAGGCAGTAATATCCTGTTGTACGTGTAAATCTGCCATTTTAACTCTATCTCTCCTCCTGGTACCCGTAATAAAGCGAAAAGCTCTATTCTGGACCCGATGAAACTTTAGCATGTTGGTCTTTGTTGTTAATGACATTGGGACACAAGGGTATTCGAGTATTGCTCTTATTATCATTTTATACAGATGTTTTTTGACATGTTGAGGGGCTTGATTAAATCGAAAGAGACTGTTAAGACCGGCTTTGGCTATGTTGATCTTTTTAGTTACATGAGATGTTGAGTGAAGCAGCCTGTCTATTTCATATCCCAAGATCTTGTTAGGGTTTCTAATGGCTACAGGTGCACCTCTGACGGAGATACCCCCTTATCTTCGATATAAAGTAAAAGGACACAAGTGCAACTAATGTGACATTTTATTGTGGCAACGTTTAGCTCTCCAGGAGCTTTATCAAGCCATTACAAACAATACATGGACACAGAGGGTATATAAAGGCTCAGAGTGAGGTGCAATACTAGTGAGGTACGATCTCGATGCTCACTAGTGGTGGTAGTAGTAGTATTAGTAGTAGTAGTAGTAGTAGTAGTAGTAGTGACAAAAATAATACAATAGAGCAATTAATTCGTACATGAGTAAAAGGATACAAAAGCTATTACTTGGGTAACATAAAAATAGGTTGGACAAATATAGACTGGAAAGAGGCAGGTTGTTTCAGTGTTCACTCTCTGTAATGTGCTTTGTGTAGTATAACAGGAGAGACTATGTGATGGCAGGGTTTACTGTTTTCAGGAGGATTCTTGCTAAGACTTCGGAGATGGTGAAGCTGCCCTTGTTTTGTCTAATTGTA